AGATAAATATAGAGAGAAATCAGACAAGAAAGGAGCTAGACATGAGAACAGAACTGAAGCTGTGTATAAAGGATGTTATGCCAGAGGAATTAAAGCGAATGGATCAAAGAACTCTGAGTGCGTAGACTGATTCACCGACCCTAAAGATTCTCTGCTGGTTGATAGAGCCTTCTGCGGACCCTGGGAGGGGACTATCAAGGGGCTGGACCCCCATAGTCCTCGTTAATTGTAGGGATTTTAAGGACTGGCTAGAGCAAGCCACAGTGTCTGTTGGGCACAGCTGAGCCACGTGTGGGTGCAGAATGTGGGAAGGATGGGTAGGACAATGCGGGGGGGTGGGGGGGGTGGGGGGGTGGCATCTGTCACTCTCTTCCCCTCCTCCCCTCTCCTCCTCCTCCTTCTCCTCCCTTTCCTCCTGTTTGCTCCTCCTCCCTTTCCTCTTCCTTTCCACTCCCCCTCCCTCCCTCCTCCTGTTCCTCCTCTTCTTGCTATTCTCCCTTCTCCTCTTCCTCCATCTTCTTTGTCCTCCCCTTCCTCCTCCTCTAGCTCCTCCTCCTCCTCCTTCTTTTCCTCATTCCTCCCTTCCTCTTCCTCCCTCCTGCTCCTCCCCCTCTTCCTGGACTTTGTTCATCTCTTCCTTCCTCCTCTTCCTCCCCCTTCCTCCTCCTCTCATTCACTTTCTCTTACAGATGACAGAAGAAGACAGGGTTCTGCTGGTTTCTTGGACAACAAAGTCCAGGAGTGGCCCTTGAGCTGTTTGGGTCTGGTTAGGGATTTGACCTTTGGGTCAGTTCACATCAGCGGCATGCCAGGTACTCCTGTGGAATAAGCACAAATCACGGTACAGCGCAGGGCTCCGGACACGCGGGGCTCCAGATGGCGGCCACTGTCTCTGCTCTGAGCAGGTCTTCCCTGCAGCTCCACTATGGATTCCTCCCACCTTAACCTGGAGACTGGAAGCACAAGTCCAGCCGAAGGCCTCACAGCGACCATTTCTGAGCCCTGGATGCCTCCGCCCTGGTAGCCTGGCCCTGCAGCTGGCTTTATTTGCCATGACTGCAGTGTCCTTGTTTAAGAAGGCTGGCATCAGGGTGGCTCAAGGGGCCCTGAACCTGGGCCCAGCACCCAATCACACCTTGGTTCCTCACCCCACACAGTCCCCTCAGCTGTCCCCTCCTCTGACGGCTGGTCTGTCTTCTACAGAGCAGCCTCTACAGTGAGGGGGGCCTGGGGGTGGCGACACTCAGCACCATCTACGGGAGCATGATGCTCTCCTCCATGTTCCTCTCACCTCTCCTCATCAAGAAGTTTGGCTGCAAGTGGACCATGGTGGGCTCCATGAGCTGCTACTTGACCTTCTCCTTGGCCAACTTCTACGCCAACTGGTACAGCCCCTCCCCACCCCACCCCCGCCAGCCCTCCCTTAGTGTGTGTGCCCTGAGCACCCATGCAGACCACTGTCCTCTGAGCTTCTACAGAGGGACAGCATCATGACACCCTCTCTATCTTTCCCGTGTCCCTGCTGGCTTCTTCTCATGCTCCCTATCCCAGAGCGTACCTCTTCTTGGGAATCTCTCCTCACTCCCCCACCCCCAACACACACACACACACACACACACACACACACACACACACACACACACACATCCTCAAGGCCCTAATGGTTAGAGAGTCTGATGATTCTCAGGGAGATTCAGCCAGCAGGGGACAAACATCCATTCCCTGTGCCCCCAGCTTTTGAGAGGGGATTACACTGGCTTCTTTGGGCACACCCTGATCCCACTCCATCCTGTGGGGCCTCTGTATGGACACACCCTGATCCCTTCCTCTATTCTGCTGGGTCTTTCTGCAGGTACACCCTGATCCCCACATCCATCTTGCTGGGCCTGGGTGCGGCCCCCCTGTGGGCATCTCAGTGCACCTACATCACCATCGTGGGAAATTTGCAAGCGAAGAAAGAGAAGAAGCTGGGCAAGGACGTGGTGAACCAGTACTTTGGCGTCTTCTTCCTTGTGTTCCAGTCTTCTGGAGTGTGTGGCAACCTGATTTCCTCACTGGTATTCAGCCAGACACCCACTCATGGTAAAGAGTGAGGGCTGAGAGGCCTTGGGAATAGTTAGGTCTCCATGAGAGCAAAGTGAGGTCCCAATTCCACCTATATACCTGACCTTACAGTGGAGGCAGGTGGCCCTGCCAGTCTGGGGACAGTCAGGAGGCTAAGTAGCTGTCTTTTCCACAGGTACCCTGTGGAGGTCGGGGAACCCCTCGGGGAAAGGTGTCATGGGGGAACTGAGCACTCACCAACTCTTGCTAGTGTAATGTGGGTCCTGAGTTGCTGAGAATTTACGTGGCTTATTTCCCTATAAAACTGACCCACAAGCCAGTGTTAAAACCATCTGTCAGACCCCTTATCCCATGACTGGGGGAATGTTCCATGTCTGTCTCCCCTCAACCCCACCCACGCAGGGTCAGAGTCAGCATCCACTCCATGCCACTCCCAGGCTAGGGGCTTTAGTCTTCCATTCTTGCAGCAGAGCTTTCCAGAAGAGACAACTCTGGAGTAGGTTGGCTTCTCTCCCTCCACCCTGGCCATGTGTCTGGCTTCTCCTAGGCGGCACATGCTGACAGAAACTCAGAAGTCACCAGTCTTCTTCCCTTCCTGGTGACAGTGTGTCCAAGGCAGGGAAGACACTGGGCCATGCATGTGGTCTTGTTCACAATCACTACCACTCAGGCAAGAAGCTGCAGAGACTGATATCAAACCCAGTCTCTGTCACAGCAGGTGGAGGGACATAGACTGCTCTTAGATGCAGCCAGACCACTACTCATTCCCTGAGTAGTAAGGTAATTCTCCAGTGGCATGCCCAGAGACGAATCTATCCCAGATAATAGTCCCTCACTCCTCACAGATATGCCCAGAGGCTGTCTCCTATGTGACTCTAGCTCCTGGCAAGCTGACATCATTAACCATAACAGTAGTTCCAACTCTGTGTGTGCGTGTGTGTGTGTGTGTGTGTGTGTGTGTGTGTGTGTGTGTACACGTGTGTGCGTGTGCGTGTGCGTGTGCGTGTGCGTGTGTGTGTGTGTGTGTGTGTGTGTGTGTGACACATTGGGCAGGTATTAACCACCAAACCAACCCCCTCTCTCCATATGTATTTATTTTTACTTTATGAGTTTATGAGTACAGGTGTTTTCCCTGCATGTATGTTATGCCCCATGTGCAAGTAATACATACAGATGCCAGAGGGCATTAGATTCTCTGGAACTGGAGTGACATACAATTGTGGACCAGTGCTGGGTGTTAGGAACCAAACCTGGATCCCCTACAAGAATAGCCGGGGGTAACTGCTGGACCATCTCTCCCAGCCTACACCCATTGTTTTTTAACCAATAAGAGAGTTAGCACTCATTTTTCTGAAACAGGACAGACATGAAGTCACCTGTCCTAGGTGACCATGCTTTCACTGCTGATTTTGGCCTCAGGTATCCCGCGTAGTCACTAGAATTCTCACCTTGTCGTCTTGATTTCGACCTCCTCAGTGACCATCCCAGATTCCCAGCTCCAGTCCTGTGGAGCCAAAGACTGCCTGATGGCCACCGTGGCTTCCAATAACACCTCTAAGCCCTCCAAGCAACTCATCTACACCCTGCTGAGCATCTTCAATGGTGTGTACAACTGCCCAACCTCCCCCTGTGGCAAAGGCCCTTCTCCTCCAGCCCATGAATGAACTTTCTCCGTAGAGACCCCTGCCACACTTCCCTGGCAGAAACGATGCCACAATCAGGAAGGTGGTTTTCCCAGGGTAGTGCTTGTCCATTGCAGCCTGGATATGTTGGCGCCTGTGATCTCCCCAAGCGTAGGGAACACAGCGTATAGTTTGTGGTAGTGAGGGACTATGTTTGTGTCTGCCCTTTAATAAAGGAAGCGAAAGCCCTGCGTGTGGTAGGGCTGGGCCATCTCAATGGCTGACCCGAAAGCAAGCTCAGGGGCCAGTGATGTGCAACAAAGCCACCTGTGACCATGCACGGTGAGGGCACACAGTTCTCAGAGGAGGATGTGGGCAGAAAGGGGAGTGAAAAGTGGGGGCCAGGGAGATGTCCCGGGAACTTCCATGTTACCGCCGTCCCTGATCATCTGTGATCTAGACATTTATTCATTAAATGTCCTGTTCACATTCATGTGGTGGCGGGGACAGCAAGGGCTCACCTGGCGTGTGGTTCCTCAGCACCCACCCCATCCCCTTTCTGCAGTGGGGAGGCCAGACGCCTGTGGAAAGTACTGGGCTAAAATGATGTCCCTGTCTCCTCTCCACCATGCCTAGACAGCCTCAGAGAACCTGGGTGTGTGCAATGGCAGCGCTCATCAACTGGAGGGGTACTCTTCCTGATCGACCATGTCAGGCAGTAGATGATTCAGGCGTTGAGCATCAAGTGGTCTCACTACCTCACTCCCTGTTGTCTTTGAAGTGTGTGTGTGTGGGAAGCCACAGATAGCACCGATGAATATGATTCATCAGTGCTGTTCAATAGAACTATGTATCCCTGGAGAATTCTGTCCTCTAAGTAGCAGGTCAAGGGGCTTAGCAAGGAGACTGTGCCCCAGGCCAGGTGGAGGAGACATTGTCTTATTCTGATACCTGGAAATCTGCTATGACTCTCTTTCGAGCATGTCACCATAAACAAGAAAGGCCAAAATGGGCAATAATGCCCACAGTGCCATCTCCCTGGAGTGATTGTCGAGGGCTCTACGTGTTGCATTCATAATGATGTTTTTTGGGGTCTGTCTTTAGAATGCAGTGTCTCAGTTCCAGGACGCCAGTTCATGCCTTGGAAGGTCAAGGACCACTTGGCATTGGATACACACACCTCTGAGTAAGAGGATGTGACTTCTGAGACCAAGACCCTCCACTCACAGGCTCTCACTGCTTCTTGTTAGAGATGGCGTTCTTTAGACCTCTCCAAACTTGAAGTCTTTTGATGCAGGGTAGGCCACAGAGAAGGAGCTGCCTACCTGATGGTGATGAAGAAGAGACAAGTGTTTTCTAATATTTACTACCAGCCAGCATTGGGATGGTTGGAAAGAAGACACATTGTACTTCCCAGGTCCAGACACCTGTTCATGTAAAGGGTCATTGCGATTCAATGACTCCTCTCTTGAGGCCTTGTGGTTCTTTCACAGTGGAGGGGGGCACATCCACAGGCCCCTGGCAAGAGCCATCCAGCCTCGTGGGCACCTAAGAAGCAACACTGAAATGTTGCATTAAAAGTGATGCTGGAGGGTGTGTGCGTAGTAGTCAGGAGGGTAAGTGGCTGAGTTGTAGAAAGCTTTGAAGAGATCTGGACTTTTCTGGGTGTCAGTGTGTGAAAGGGGGGGGGTTCTATGATGGGCGCTGAGACTGGGTGAACCATCTTTGTAAACATTTACCAGGGCAGCTGGCTTCACCAAGCCCACAGTTCAGCAAGGCTGGGCCACAGTGTCCTGATGGAGTCTGACACACACTCCCTGGCTGAACCTCACACCTAGAGTTTGGACATGTCAATCCCTAGGGGAAACTGCCCTTGCCAGAAAGTAGAATGGCAGTGCTCAAAAGATGTCACAAAAGGCACCTCATATCACTAGGGGACAGGAGGACCTCTGTAGAAGCCCGGACACCCACATAAACATCCGTTTCCTGTGCAGGGAGATGGAGGTGACTGGAGAGGTGAGGTGGGGGGATGGCAAAGACAGATTCATTTGCTCATTGCATTTTGCAGTTTTTAGATGTGCAGAATGTTCAGGGTCAAATGAACAGTTTGGGATTCTTCCCCCGCCACACACACAGATAACCCATTGACACCGTTCAAAGTACAAATGCAGTAAAAGGTCCCAAGACTCATGGTGCCCTCTGTTAATTGTCCCTCAAAACACACCCCTCTCCAAAGCCTGTCCCCAGACAGCCTATGTCTGCGGGGCCTTCAGGGTGTTTAATGCACGGATAGGTTTCTACGTGCCTCTTCAACTGACACACCGCTTTGCTTTCCTCTCGTTGTCTTGTCTTGGGGGACTTTTGTTTTTAATCTTCTTTAAAAAGCGTGCTATTCCTCTCTGGGTGACAGCCGTGCGGATCCACTGTGGTGGGTTAACTGTAGACCTAACACATACATGGTCCGTGGAGATGAGGGGTGGGCCACGTCTGACCCCGGCAGCACCGACACCTGTCTGTGTGTCCTTCCAGGCAGCAGTATCCTGGCTATCCTGCTGCTGATCGTGTTTCTCGAGTCTGTGGAAGACAGAATGGAGAACGAGAGAGAAGCAGGGCCCAGATCACCACCTCTCTGGTCGACTTTACTGGCCACCTTCATGCTGTTTAAAAACGACAAGCGTCTGCGCCTCCTGATCCTCCTGCCGCTGTACAGTGGGATGAACCAGGGGTTCATGAATGGAGAGTACACAAAGGTAGGAGAGGAAGCAGCCCAGGGCTGTGTACCCATGCCCTCCCTACCTAAAGGGACCTGAAGGTGTTCCAAGACCAGGGGCCCGGGGGCCCTTGGGTGGGATCGGGTTCCCTGTTCTACCGAGGCTGAGTCTCGGATTTGAGGCACCCGTCTCTAACTTCTCAGCTGAAGGGAGGACTTCCTACTGGCCAATGTCTTCCCTAGGAAGGGCAAGGCTGGTGGGAGGCAGCTGTTAGCAGCTGTGTGTAACACTCATGTCCATTCTGCTGACCCTGTGTTCTCAGTGCTGCTAAATAATAAGGGAAGATATTAAACCCTCGAGCAGTGTTGAAATTCCTTCCTGTGCCAGCTTTCATATGGTGTACCCCGGTCTAGAAACCGTGTGGCTTGCCAGTCTCAGCTCTTGGACTTCTAAACTTTTCTGTGCTCACAGAAGTCCTTTCCATGTGGGGCGACCCGGGCCACAGGGACACACAGAGTGGGCCGTTCTCTAGTGACTGATACAAATCACAACTTCTGTCTTCTATTGGGGGCCGTCCCCAGGCTCCGTCTTTCTGAAGAATCCTGGTGCTGTGGGAAGGAGGGAGTTCTCTCCTGGGTGAGACTCTTCCCCAGTATACACTGGCTCATGGTGGTCTTAGGGCAGATGGGGAGGCAGGGCATTCCCCAGTCCTACCTTTAAACCTTGTCCTGTCCTCCTCACACTAGGAAAATTTCTACCCCGTCCTTAGCCAGGAGTAGTGCTCCAGAACAACAGAGCACACAGTAGCCATCCAACCTAACCCAATTTTCCATAAACTGCAGTTATCTCTGGACAAGTGTGCCCTGTGCGATATCTAAGTGTCCTGGGTTTATCTAGCAGTACCACCTTTGGGGGTTAGGTGAGGGGGACAGGAATCAGTCTTGCATCTTTTTTTTTTTTCGAGACAGGGTTTCTCTGTGTAGCTTTGCGCCTTTCCTGGAACTCACTCTGTATCCCAGGCTGGCCTCAAACTCACAGAGATCCACCTGCCTCTGCCTCCCGAGTGCTGGGATTAAAGGCGTGCATCACCACCGCCCGGCTCAGTCTTGCATTTTTATTAAAGAAGGTTAGAAAGGGACCAACCCTGGCAACCAAGGAATGAGGTACCACCCAGGAAGGTGGCATGGGCTCAGGCTTAGGGACTCAAGGGAAGACTGATGGCCTGGGAGGGCCCAAGGAGACTGTCTTGGCAGCAGCTAAGGGAACTCAAGGGAAAGCTTCAGATATCACAGCCACATTCTGCAGGCTGAGGGGCTGAGGCTGTGGATGCAAGAGAGGTTGGGGTGGCCTGGAATCACCCTGGCCTCCTGTGCTTGTCTGTCTAGATCCCCCACTGGTTCTCATCATGTTCATGTACTCTCCATCATCAGGTGGCTCATTGCAGTCATTTCCCTCATCCACGCCCTGCATGTCTGCTATGGAATCATCCTTTGGTACACTGTAAATATTTGTTACTGTGATTGGGTTAATAAAGAAGCTGACTGGCCAATAGCTAAACAGGATAAAGTTAGGCAGGGAAGCAAAACTGAGAATGCTGGGAAGGAGAAGGGTGGAGTCCAGAGTCGCCAGCCAGGTGCAGAGGGAGCAGGAGATGAAATGCCATGCTAATAAAGGTACCTCCACATGGCAGAGTGTAAATAAGGAATATGGATTAATTTAAGTGTAAGAGTTAGCTAGTAACAAGCCTGAGCTATTGGCCCATCATTTATAGTTCATATCCAGCCTTTGAGTCTGTTATTTGGGACAGGGCAGTTGCTACAGGAAATGTCCATCTACTCATGTCCTTATCATCTTCATCCTCTTTTCCTCACCACTGTGCTCTGTGGCTGGCTGGCTGGCCAACAGGCACCAGGTCATTGCCTTTCCTTGTGGTGCTTTGGAGCCAGGTGTGATATCAGAAGCACCATTCTTAAGATGGTTTTAACAGATTCAAAAGGGAACGTCCAGAACACCTCGGTGATTTGCGTGGGCTTCCCTTCCCATCAGACATCATGTCATTCTAGCTTCAGCCAGCTATGCCAAGGCAGCCATCCTCTTGTCCCCAGCCTTTCCTACAAGTGTCTTCAAGTGTCCTCGATTCTGCCAGTAATGGAGGTCAAGTGTTGAGGCTGCCCAGTGGCCTCCCTAGCCATCTATGGAGATTCCATTTCCCTCACCTGTCCTTAGGCCTAATAGAAAATTATGAGATATGTCAATGTCCTTGTTAACACTCTGTAAAATAGTGTATCACACCTATGGAAAAGAATGTGTAGGAAGGGGTTTGCCAAGATGTCTGTCCATTCTGATCCAAAGTAGACCCTGTCCTACATACCAGTGTTGCCCTCCTAGGCTGGGAGAGGCAGGTCCTCGGCCACATCAGCATGTTAACTTCCACACAGCAGCTGCAGACTGAAGCCGTAGTGAGACCTATACACACCAGTAATGCAGCTCTATGCTTCTCCCTAGTCTTTTGCCACCTGTGCCCTGGGCATCCATTTTGTGGGCTATGTGATGATCTGCTTCTCAGGTGCCTCCTCACTGTGCTCTCTGCTGTATGGGAAGATCTCCAAGTACACGGGCAGGGCTGCACTCTTCGCGCTGGGTAAGTAGACACACCAGTGAGCCTGTGCTCAGGGTACTATGTAAAGAAAAACACACGGGGCAGTGGGGGCTGTGGAAGAGGCTAGAAAAGGGGAGCCCTGTAGGTGGCATGCTTTCCTGCCCTCCCTGTGCCCCCTGCCACCCCTTGCCTTCCTCCAACAAGAGGAAGTGTAGCTGGATTTCTTGGACGGCCAGCCCCCAAATTATGACATGGAGATGAATTATTAATTTATGAATGTTTGGCCTTAGCTTAGGCTTGTTTCTCGCTAGCGAGCCTGTTTCTGATCATCTGTTTTACCTCAGAGCTTTTCACCTGTCTTTCATTCTGTATGTCCTACTTTCCTGCTTCCTCCATGTCTGACTGTCTGGCCCCCAGCTGACCATCTGGCCAGCTCCTCTTTTCTCTTTCCCACCAGCCCTGCCTATCCCTCTTCAGCCTTGCTCTTGGCCATTCAGCTTTTTATTAGACCAATCATGTGCCTTAGGCAGGCAAGGTAAATCAGCAACACATCTTTACATAGTTAAACAAATGCAGCATAAACAAATGCAATACACCTTTACATAGTTAAACCGATATTCTATCGCACAACAAGGAAGTACATGTTCTGCCTCACAGAGGTCTGCACAGAAGTCATGCCCCAAGGAACAAGCCCAGATATCACTGTTCAGGGTTCTCCTGGTCTCCCCTCCTCCACCCCATACTCTTTAGAAGCCTAGCTCACACTGTTGGGAGACAACTTACTGGTCCCCCAGCTACAGGCTAGGGTTCCACAGCCCAGAGCCCCATAAGACTGTGGGTCCTGTAGGTCCTCATGGTCCAGAGGGCCCCCCTTTTGGAGTCAGCCACACACTCACACACCTGTGTTTTTTCTGCATCACCTTTTGTCTGTGCACTGCAGGAAAGCATTAGAAAGTCTGGAGGAAGCACATGGGTACAGATGGTCCCCAACCCAGGCTGCGTGAGGCCCTGGCCACCAGAAGCAGAGGCGACGCCACCCACTGTCCTGTCTTGTTTCCTCCGACCAGGTGCCGTCATCCACTTCTCCTGCTTTATCACCCTCCTCCTGTGGCACCCAAACCCGGCCCATCTACCTGTCTTCTTTATCATCCCTGGCCTGTGGGGGATGGCAGATGCAGTCTGGCAGACACAGAACAATGGTGAGTACCCAGCACAGGCTCACGGTGCCTCAGTCTCCCTCAGTCAGCTGTCTTGAGGGTAGCAAGGCCGGAAGGCAGCCATTAAGGTGGAATCCAAGCTTTCTGGGTGTGTCTAGTCGAAGTCCCCATTAGAAGGCAACCATGGAACCAAGGGAGGTGAGAAACAGATAGGTCTCAAGGACCATGCTGTAGGTTTGAAGTGTGTTCTTATCTCAGAGCATGCATGATGCAGAAGGAGGGTCTGGTGAGGCCAGGGGCTCCATGCAGCAATGTGGTCTCCTGGAGTTGCTCACAGTTGTGCACAGATGAGGAACCAGAGGAAGTGATGGCAAGGAGGATCTATAGAGAATCCAGATAGGGGCCACAGAACACTAGTACATCTACCACCCTGTGTCCTGTGGACATGAGGCCATAGGAGGTGGAGAAAGGGACATAGAGGAGGAATATGCCTATGGACAGAGATGAATACCCCTGATAGACAGTCAGCATCTGAAATGGAGGGGAGAAGGTCCAATGCCCCCCTCACCCACAGAGCCAGAGATGGGGAACGTGACCCCTTGATCTTGGAGAACTGACTAGTGGTAGAAAGTTGAAATAACTTATGAAGAAGCCATGGTAGAAGCCACCTGTGAAAGACCTTCCCCAGTTAGAGTGCATGATCAGGAGATCAGCAAGACCAGCAAGTGAGGGCCATGGCTAGACAGGAGGACCGCATAGCTCTGGAATGCCGCTGTCCCCGTGGTCTGTGGAGTAGAGACACCAGGCCCAGGGGCTGCACCAGAGAGACTCCAAGAGAGTCAGTGGTATGGCAAAGTGGCAGAAATGCCAGGGTATTGGCACTGGATCTGTTGGAAGCTCTTGAGTCTACCCAGAGAGCATCTGAGAGGACTTTCAAAGGAAGGGCACTAGGATGAGAAGTGTGGGAGCCCACAGAGGTTTCCTAGTGAGATCTCAGCTTGCTTTATCTAGCAGAGCTGCATTAGGGGATGGCTTGACCACCTGCATGGTTACCAGGTGTCTGGGATGGTCTACATTTGGCTGCACTGGGCGGGTGGTGGTGGTGGAGGAGGTGAAGGTGGTGGAGGTGGTGGTGGTGGTGGTGGTGGTGGTGGTGGTGGTGGTGGTGGTGGTGGTGGTGGTGGTGGTGGTGGTGGTGGTCTTTGCTCTACCCCTTGACATTTCTTACAAAGCCCTTTAGCAGAGACAGAAGGGGCTGGTGGGTTTTGACCCAGGCCCTCCCGCCCTCCCGAGGCTATCCTGTGCTTCTGTCTCTCTCCTCTATATTTCTATCTAAATCTTTTATCCCTTACTCCTCAAGAATCCCTGAGGTAAATAAATGTGGGAGCCAGTCTCCCACAGAGAAGAAGGCAGGATGTTGTGTGGATATTGACATTGGTGCAGGATACGTGACCGGATGTGCATTTGGGTGATGGTTATGTTGTAATGAGGCCAAGGTCAGAACCCTCAGCCCTAAGTCTCCCACAAATACCTAATGGCCTGGATTGTGCTAACAATCAGGGAAGGGCAGGCTCTGTGTCTGGAGTCTGGAAGGTCTGGGTGAGCCAGGCCTGAGGGAGCCCTGAGATGGATATGGTTCAGAAGTTACCTCTTTCCCACTACAGTGCCGTTCCGCCTACACTCAGGACACATTCAGGCTTAGACACTGGTTAAAGAAAACCCACAGTAGCTTGAGGCCAGGGTTTCCAGGGATGGGAGACCTGGCCACTTCTTCTGTATTTGTATGAGATCACAGCATGTTGCTGCAGATGGTGGACCGCATCCTCCAGAGCTGTCCTGGCTGTCATCCCCATGTGATGTCTGTTTACAAGAGATGGAAAAAAATGCCTTAGAGAAACCTCACACAGCTGGATATAGGGGTCTAGTTCAGCTGGCTTCAGTGGAGCCCAAGTGACAAATGTGTGTGTGCGGCTGGTGCCTTCCTCTAGTTTTTTGTTTGTTCGTTTTTGACCAAAGTCAGTAACTAGGAACAAACAGCTGGACTTTTCATGGGCTGGGGTGCACTCCTGTTCTTAGGAATATATGGGTTCATTGTGTGTGTGTGTGTTTGTGGGGAGGGTGGGGGCAGGGTAATCAGAAACTCACTTTAGCTCTTCTTGGAAGTCCAGAATTATAAAGCAGTGACATGGCAGATCAGCTAGGGATCTTAGACAGTCTATCCAGCCAGTGCCAGAGAGAAACGGCATCCAGCCCTGCACTCGCACCCAGGCCCGAGAGTTCACTGAAACACGCACGGAGTCCCATCCTCTGCATGCTGACAACCTTCCTAACTCACTGAATTCTCAAAAGCATTTACCAAAGCAGAGAAGGCACCCGGACAGACAGCCTGCTTTATCCCATCCTCCAGAACTGCAGAGGTTTAAAGTTTTCACAGTAAAAACATTTTGTTTTCTTTCTCTCTGGAATACATAGATAATCACTTTCACTCTCCTTTTCTTTATTTGGACATAAACCACTCACAAAGGCACCTTTGTTAAACTGTTCAAATCACCTAAGACCCAATCTATATATCATGAGCACTCAAGTCCAGTGAGTGACTTGAACAATGACTCCATTGAATAAGGGACACTTTAAAAATGAAACAATTTCAACCTTCTTTGTATAGGTAAGAGTGTGTTTGTTGTTGTTAAAAGACAAACTGGTTTCTTTGAAAGTGTGTGCTGGCGGCCACCCCAGTGAGGAGTGTCGCTTTAGCGCTGCGTCCCTGCAGCTAGTTCCACCCAGCTCCCCACACCACAGCACACCCACACGTCATCCAGATGGTTGTCTGCCCCTTTTCGACGCGACAAATTGCATGTAGCTTTGGCCACACCTCACAAGCAGTACTGTGTGGGGCTTGGGAAATGCAGAGTGGGTCAGAACGTGAACAATGTGGTGATCTCAGTTTAGATCCTCAGGATGGAACCAGTGCTGGGGAACCGAGGCAGGAGATTTGCTGAGACTTGCTGGCCAGGCAGTCGAGCAGAGAAACAGAAAGCTCCAGTTATAGTGAGAGACCCTGTTGCTGTGGGATGGCATTCTGTATGCTGTGAATATGTGTTGCTCTGATTGGTTGATAAATAAAATGCTGATTGGCCGGTAGCCAGGCAGGAAGTATAGGTTGGGATAAGCAGACAAGGAGAATTCTGGGAAGAGGAAGAGGAAGAGTCAGGACTTGCCAGCCAGACACAGAGAAAGCAAGATGACAAGACAGAACTGAGAAAAGGTACCAAGCCATGTGGCTAAACACCGATAAGAATTATGGGTTAATTTAAGTATAAGAGCCAGTCAGTAATAAGCCTGAGCTAATGGCCGAGCAGTTATAATTAATATAAGCTTCTGCATGGTTATTTTATAAGCGGGCTGTAGGACTGTGAAGGGGGGGGGGCTTGGCAGGATGGGAGAAACTTTCTGACTATACCCCATCTTCAGGGAATAAGGTGAGGGTGACAGAGCAGGATGCTCAGTGTTCTCCTCTGGCCCCCAATTGTACACACATGCACATAGACACACAAAGGACAGACGTGGTGGTATGTTCTCATCTAATTCAGAGAAATGAATGAGCTCAGCCCCCCACTGTTTGAGTCAGCATCTTTCAAACTCCTCAGTTTAGTAGTGTGTTGTAGGGCTCAGACACTTGCTCCTCTGGCTGGGGCTGGGTACCCCGAGGGCTTCTGAGTTTCCACCTCCCAGCAGTGAATCTGTGCCTCAGCTGCTCTTCCTCTCTGACAGCTGAGGGAGGAGGGCGGGTGCAGTTGCTATAGCAACCCTCACATGCCACTGTGCTGCATTCAAGACACAGAACGCTCATCTGTTAGCCCTGTTAGCTGCTGAAGGGGCTCGCTTTCCAGTTCACGGGTGCACGGACTCTGACTTCTGAGTGCCCTGTTTGTTTAACCTGTCTTTGCGACAGATGAGATGCCTGTTTGCTCCTCACATCACCTCAGACTAAGGACTCCGTCTGAGTCACGTTAGCCTCGAGTGCCCCCGAATAGATGAGGCAGACAGGTCAGGCTGATGATGCTGAGGGCAAAACAGATTTCTTTGTAACAAACAGGTTAATTCACAATAGTCTTATGTATCCAGACAAGCTACATAGACTGCACCAAGTCTGCACCCAGCCAGAGTCCGGTCCCTGGGTTTTATAACCAGGGGAAGATGGCTGCCATCAGGACATGGGCTCCCTGTGGCTCGCAAAGGGCAGATGCCCTGGGGTCCCAGTTTACCATAAGCCTCTGTTTCCTGCTCTGAGACCCTGTGTTGGGTGTTACCCTGCACTTGGCATCCATGTCTGTGTAGTTAGTACAGGGGTGGTCACCTGCTTGCCATGCCCCCTCACCCATCCATCTGGATATTGTTGCTGGTATGGACACCTATTTTCTCATGTGCCTTCCCTTGGCTTGTCTGTCTAGTTGTTACCAGTGTGGACAAATGGATACCTCGTCCCCTCCCTTCTCTGTCTAGTGATAGCTTGCGTGGACACCTCGCCCTCAGGGCTGGGTTGATTAACAGGCGTTCCTGGAGGGAGGGGGTTTGCTCTGCCCAGGTGCCTGATTCTTCTGAAAAGGCAGTTCAGGCTACACACCCAAATCCTTAGCTTCTCGGCTGTCTGGAACGTAGCTTCTGAGGGAACTGTGTTGGCAGAGAGGAAGGGACAGGGCCACTTCCGCTGGTCCAGTTGCCAGACGGATCAGCCTTGGTTATCAGTTCTGGAGTTCTGACTTTCCCTCCCTGGGGTCCTCCATATAGAACATCTCTATCCTGGGTCCTCCATCCTAGGATCCTCCATGTTGGGCCTTTCTACCCAAGATCCTTCATTCTGGGGACCCCATCTATTCCAGGGCTTTCCCTCATGGCATTCTTTATCCTGGGTCCTCTGTCTTAGGGTCCTCCACCCTGGACCATGGTGGGAAGTCAAACAGGATTTCTAGGGATGGTGTAGGGGCTAAGGGTGGTCTTGGTGAAGGGGGAGAGTGTGTAAGTAGGAGCTGGCACAGCAATCCGGGGTGTGGACAGACCACAGAAAACCACCAGGGCCTGCTCTCTTCTCATCCACCCCCTCCCAGATGCACCTGCCACTCAGCCATGTCCTGCAATGGGATCCTTGCTGCTCTCTTCCAGATCTGTCAAAAAACGCCCTGCCCAGCACCGGAAGCAAAAGTGACTCGCTTGTTCAGAAGCAGAGAAGCATCAGGCTGTGCGAGTTTCGAGTTTTCTGTAACCCACAAAAAATACCCTTGGCTGGGGATTACGGCAAACATGGATTCTCTTGCCATCTCTCTGCCAGGCTCTTCCACTCAGGAGGTCTCAGGAATACACACATGTATACACACACATAGGCGCTCTGTGTCAATTTAAAATGAAAAAAAAAAAAATCAAGACTGCTGAGGACATTAAAAAAGAGAAGTCGTGCCCAGCATGGTGGCGCTTGCCTTTAATCCCAGCACTCAGGAGGCAGGGGCAAGCAGATCTCTGTGAGGTCAAGGTCAGCCTGGTCTACAAAACAAGTTTTAGGACAGCCAAGGCTATACAAAGAAGCCCTGTCTTAAACAAAAACAAACAAACAAACAAAAAACCAAAATAAAAATAGAAGCCACAGAGCTAGTAATAAAAGTCTGGGGACTTCCGAGTGGCATTGACTCCATCTCTAAGCACTGGGCAGTGGGTATCACCTGCTAGACTGCTACTGCCCAAGTGACTGGCATACCCTTGAAGGACAAATACGGCTTCCATGACTGTAACTCATTACCCTTTGGTTCTGGGGATGGGTGACGAGCTCCACCTCATCTTATACTGGCTAAAGCAACTCCATTGTATGCCAGGCATGCATCTTGGTACCCACCAGCCATTTGTCTCTGACTCCAGCTCCTGGAAGATAAGTTCCCGATAACCCCGACTCAATAACCCCCTACCCAAAATGTGCAAATGTACAGCCGTGACTATCTACTTGTTATAAGACTAACTGCTTCTTTGCTTCTGCGGGCACCCGAAGATTGAGTGGCCTTAGCCGCGTCGCTTGGCAGAACAGACCAGCGTTTGCTGGCTTGCACAGCTGTGGGAGGGTCTCGTGCTCTTCCTCTTTAAAAATTCTTCTCTCAACTCTTCTCACAGGAATCTCGAATTTGGCTCAGAGACTGTTTGCCCTGCTAGCAGCTAGTCAATAAACTCTTTCATTATGATTGGGTTGACTCTATGGTCTTTCCCCAGGGGTCACAAACTCCACACGACACACACTGAACTCCTTGCTTTCCTTCATCTTTAGAGTGAGGACTGGCCGGCTCCGTCCAGCAGCTACTGCTCTGGGACTCCTGTGTTCCCTCTCCTGTACTGTCCACTGCCAGAGGACATCACCTGACTTAGCAGCATAATTCTGTGCTTTTTTTTTTTTAAGAAGAAGAAAAAATCCAGATTTTTTTTTCAAGAAAACTGGCAGTGACGAGGCTTGTCTATGTTCAGGATTAATTTAATGGACCGTGTCTGAGGTCTTTGTGTACGTCTGTGGGTGTCTATGGGTGGTGTGTGTGTGTGTGTGTGTGTGTGTGTGTGTGTGTGCACATGTGCGCGCGCGCACGCGTGTGCATGTATGTACATGTGTGCATGTGGCACCAGAGGTCAGCATTGTCTCAGTCACCCTCCATCTTATTTTTTCAGAGTCTCTCCTTGATTCAGCTGAGTCCGCTGGCTAGCAAGCCCCAGCTTTCCTCCCTCCCGTCTCCCAGCACTGGGTTATAGGCCAGTGCCTGGCATTTTCTATGGGCACTGGAGTCAGACAGATCTCAGGCTCCCACGCCTGCACACAGGGTCTTGTCTGGCGTCTTATGCAGCGTTTTCACTCTCATCTGCTCCACAGCTCTTTATGGTGTCCTGTTTGTGAGGAACAAAGAAGCCGCCTTTGCCAACTACCGCCTTGGGGAGTCCCTAGGGTACGTCATCGCCTTCGGGTACAGCTCGTTTCTGTGTGTGAGCACCAAGCTCGGCATTCTCTTGGGCGTCTTGACTGTGACCATGATGGCTTATGGGATTGTTGAGTACCTGGAACCCAAGACTACTAACAAGTCTGTGGCTACAGAAGAGAAAAGCCAGGCAGAAAAAGAAGAAATGAAAACGGAAGTGTGAGTGCAGCCACGCCACGGCCAGAAACTCGGCCTGGACCAGCAGAGCAGTTCCCTGTAGCGACATTCAGTAGATAGACTCAGTTATTCATGATTGTTTCAGCAATATGTGGACATTCTGATGACCATGTGTAGTTTCTATGTATTTTTTTTTTCAATTTAACAAATTCCCGTCCAGGTTTCTACTCACAGAGATCAAGAGTATATGCAAAGGACTGGGAATTTTGTAGCCTAGTGCTGGTGTGCCTGCTAAGCATGCACAAGCTCAGTCCCTAGTACTACGGAAACAAAGCAATGGCTATGTACAGGGGCAGGGAAATGGCTCAGTCAGTAGAGATTTCCAGGCCAAGCATGAGAACACTAGTCTGAACCATTGACACACGTTAAAGGGGGTGGAGGATGGTAATGGTAATGTGTACTTGGAACGCTAGCACTGGCGGGACAGAGGCAGAAAGATCCATCGGGCTCATTGGCTGGCCAGACCCAGGAGCTCCGGGTTCAGTGAAAATCTTGTCTTAGAAACTAAGGTTAACAGCAGCTGGCATCACCTAATGTCAACCTTTAGCCTAAACACACACCAAACACACACACACACACACACACACACACACACACACTAAACACATACATACATACCACACACACACCACACACACACAGAGACACAGACTACACAGACACCGCACACACACATACACACACACACACACACACACACACACACACACACACACACACACACACACACTTGCCATGTCAGGGATTGTGCGTGTTAGAGGCCATTGGAAGGATTGCAAACGGTATGCTTGATGCTCAGCTATCACTGTGGTGAAGTCAAACATAATTCATGCATAGTACCTGCCAGGTGCTCATGCTATGGCTATGGTGGAATCAGACATGGCACGAGTGTCACATACCACACGTGAGCATATATAGTCCTACGGCCACCATCCGCTACAGTCACCGTCCGCTACAGTCACCATCCACATTCATCATCCCAGTCGTGTCTCTTCACTCTTCCTCATCTTGAACAGCTTTATCAGTGACAGCTGCCTTTTTTCCACACACACTTTTTTTTCTCTCAGTCCCTGGCACCTTTGCCCAGACTCCCATGTGGTTTTGACATGTCTTCTTTTCTTTTACCTCTGTGTGGAATTTGGCCATTTCTGAAGACGTCAAATTCATGTAGAAGGTATTCAACAGGGCAAAGGACCCTTGCATCCCCTCTAGCCTGGAGGCTCAGGGTTGTGTCTTGCATGGGAACAGGTGTGAGGTGAACTTGATTTAGGTGTACCCTGAGAACGCTAATACAAAGAGGAAGATAGGAAATGCATGTGTGTGAACATGAGGAGACCACAGAGCTGCTAGCAGGTCCCAGTCATGGTAGAGTCCTCTGGTATGGGTCTGAGACAGAGCCACAAGCAGTACTAATTTTATTTTTCAGGAGTGGCTGAGAGGAACTACCACAGACATTACCTGATGAATGCATTGGGTGGCTTGCTATCAGATAACTCATCTGTGTGGGTGGGCTAACCTGGCCTAAGATTGTGGATTGCCTGCATGTCTTAGTATTCCCACACAGAATACAGTATTCCTTAGAGAGTAATACTTTGTCTTCCAGTGAGCTTTCCTCATCCCCAGCTAGTGCCTTGAGGGCATCAGTGACAGAGGTGGGGACATTTAAAACAGGAAGCTGGAAAGATTTGCCTGTACTACACACGTGTCCCTGTAGCTAAAGGTGCTTCATGCATGCACAATCCCCACACCCCGAGTCGCTGCGTCACATCCCGAGAATGGCACAGCATTCGTAAGAGGAGCAAGTTTGGGGGCACTGACAGCAGACGTGGAGACCTGGACCTCATCCTCTGCTGATGAGAAGCCCAGCGCCCGCTGCTGTTCTTGCTTAGGAAGGTCTTCCTGTCTGGGCCTCTCACCTGAGACCTAAGCTTTGTTTGCTTCTAGTTCATCCATAATGCAGACAATGCAAAACAGGCTCACAGGTCACACAGGAGGACTGCGCCACATGAACAGATGAGGCGCTTCCTTCCTTCACCTGAAGAGTGTTTAGTTAGCATCTTAGACACAGCCAGCAAAGCCGGGCAAAGCAATAACATTCCACTCTGGAGAAACTGCTCCTTTCCACAGTGTGAAATGAGTCCGTGGGCAACTGGTGTCTCACTAAGCAATAAGACAGGAAAGACAAGAAGAGGGTCAGCACCAGGGTAAGGGAAGGAAGGTCCGGAAGGCTCCGTGGGAGCATTAATGAGTGCAGTGCCTACCCTGCGGGATGAAGGTAGGCAGTGGTCAGATCTGGGGTGTGTACTCTAGTGAGAGTCTGCAGGATGTGGTGATGAGAAAGAGAGCCAAGATCCCCAGAAGGCTGACCTAACAAAGAATAGAGCTGTCCCTTCCTTACCCAGAGTCTGACTCAGGTAACATACCGACGTCCTGGCACTGGACGTGTTAATTGATATGTTGCTGACTCTCTCTCTCTCTCTCTCTCTCTCTCTCTCTCTATATATATATATATATATATATATATATATATATATTTGCATGGACATTATCAATAGAGAGTGAGGCTGGAATTCACAGCAGACATGATGATGTTGGATGTTCCCGTCACAGAGGTGACAGATCACACACAGAAAGAGCCCAGTTCCGCGTGGTGGAGTGGAGGAAAGCAGAACTCTGGGGTCTGCATCCTCAGACCTTGCAGGGTTGTGAGGGTCAGGAGGAATGAGAGGAACCAGGGAAACAGGTCAGGGAGAGAAAGAAAGTCAGGACCCAGTTACTGACCGAGCTCTGACCAGGACTGCTCAGGGCGGTTCTCGTGCCTCTGTGTGTGGTTGGAGGAGGGAGGCTCACAGCCTGTATAAGCACAAGACTGCTCCATGCGGATGATGGAACGGAGAGCATTTACTGTCTATTGTGCTGTGTGAGACGTGAAAGCATCTCTGTCCCCAACAGGCTTCCCAGCCAGGTGACCAAGCTCACCATAGGCACGGCGCCTGTGGGTTGGGGATGATGGGGACCGCAGAGAATGGACTTTTGAGTATTGTCCTCTGGACTTCAGGGCTGTTGACGGACTTAAACATGATCATTTTATAATCGTTAATCAAGGGAGCGACACGTGTAATTAACATAGAACAGGCCTAAGGGGCCAAGGAGTTATCTTTGGGGAGGTGGTGGGGAGGGGTCCTTGGAGCCCTGGTGGGCCTGGGAATTCTGTTTCTTGCACAGGAAAACTTGGCTATAAAAGTTCAGAAGACAATACTCACTAAGGGTGGATTTGGGCCACAGCGATGGGCACACCACGAGTGTACTGCCTCCTTCCCATGCAGCCTAGGCAGAGGTGACCCTGGACCTGCCATGGGACAAGCCAACGCTTTTCCGGGGCTGCTCAGTAGCCACAAGTCCAGACTCAGTGTGGCTGTTACTGGGGTACCACATCCTCTCAAGCCTTTCCGTGAGGTCACGTGGACACTGAGGCCAGGAGAGAACTGAGCCAGAAGGAAACCCAGCAGGAATCTAGAGACGCCCGGCTCCCAGCCAGGCAGTCTGGTGACCGAGAAAATGCGATGCTCAGAAGATGGCCTCTGTGTTCAAACGCTCTTGGCCATGGCCGCTAGCCTGGGTGGCCCCTCTCCCTCAGCCTGGATGTTTAAGCACAGAGTGAACCCAGATTCTAGAAGCTTCTCAAATGGAGGGGAAAATTAAAAACTGCTGAATAAATTTAGGATCTCCAAGTCCCTAAAATAGCTAATCCAGGCCCAGAAACTGCCTTCCTCTGCTACCTCCTGGACTGGATACACTATCCAAGCAGAATATATGTCAAACCCAGCTTCCCGTTTATGCTCATAAGGAGCACAAACTTCATTAAACTTCATTTTTTTTAATAGAATTTACCAGCATCTAGAGCTGGAAGATAATTCATAATCAAGAAAGAAAAATGCCCTGTGGGTTGCATACCACTAGCCCTGGCTTAACGTTTTGTCTATAGCTGAAGTTTTCTTGGTCCTGCCTGGCCCAAATCTCTCTCACCCGCCAGTCCCGCAGCTGCTTGGACCCAAGCAAATACACAGAGAGACTTATATTACTTATAAACTGTATGGCCATGGAGGCTTCTTGTTATCTAAATGGCTTACCAGTATCTTACATCATGCTTCCCCATGGCGGTGGCTGGCAGTCTCTCCTGCCTCAGCCTTCCTGTTCCCAGAATTCTCCTCTCTGCTTATCCTGCCTATCCTATACTTCCTGCCTGGCTACTGGCCAATCAGCGTTTTATTTATCAATCAATCATAATAACACATTTTCACAGCATACAGAACACCCCACAGCATTTTCCTGGTAGAGTTCAGCCAGCATCTTGGGGATGACTTATTGTATCTGAAATACATGAACAGTTAACAGTCAACAAGGCTGGCAACTCAGTGGGCTAATCAGAAGGTTTGTTGGCCCAGGAAGAAATATTTCCTGTTGAGATTCACCACCTAGGCAGCACTCAGGCCCCTGTCATGGACACTGGAAGTCGTTAACAACCACCTTAGCCGAGGGAGGGGTGTGGCCAGTGTCGCTGGAGCTAGCAGAATATTAAAGATTATTCTAGAAACCCATCTGCCTTTGTGAACAAGAATCCTTTCATGGTTCCCCAGCCCACAGCACTGGGAGATCCCAGGAAGAGAAGTCCCACCTCCAGAGGAGGCTGTAGCCTTCCTCAGGACAGGTTGGTCTCGGAGCCCCCAGGCAGTCACACTGACGCCCCCAGGGCACAAATAAGGCAGCCCCTCTGGCACTCACCGCTCACCCGCTGGGGTCCTGGCTGCCAGTCTTCTCTGAGGTAGGGAAGGCCCTCCCTTTGTGAGGACAGCAGGCTGTGTGTTGCTAAGCAACAAGCACTTCTGTCCTCTTGCCCATATCCACCTAGCTGCACAGGTGACCAACACCCACTCTTGGCATCTGTACCCAACAAGAAGCCATTCCTGTATTTTAGGCCGAGTGTGGGGACTTACCAGCAGAAGTGACTCCTGGAGTCCAGAACCTTCTGGAGAGGGCAGAGGCTAGTCAGTGAGTATGCACTGGACTGCACAACACCTCAGGACCCGAGTAAGGGGCCTCAGCAGGAGAGGTAGACTGAGCCACCCAGGCTACGAACCTACCAACATGTTTCAACCCAAAATATGCGTTTCCAGGATGCCCTGGGTGCTGGTCATGCGGAGCAAATGGTATTAGGATTCATGTCTGTGATAAGGGGGTGGCAAGGAGGAGCGCTCCTCTACGTGGTGACTCGTGGGGCGAGGAGAGTCAACTGAGTTCAACTCAAACCCTTTGGACAGCCAGGGTTTTCAGGATGAGTGCTGATGTTGGGTGTGTGACTGAGCGAGATGGCCTACTGGGGAATTAGATACATAGGGACAAGGAGGTCCTCCTGAGTGGAAGGGGGAGGCTAGCGCTGTCCTTGTCAATGTTTTCATCCATCCCTGATGGATCCAAAGTTTGAACAGAATATCGAGAAACTGAGACTTAGGAGGGCAGAGCTTAGTTAGTTGGAGGAAGCAGGTCAACGGGGTGTGTGTGTGTGTGTGTGTGTGTGTGTGTGTGTGTGTGTGTGTGTACGTCTTTGAAAGACACAGCTTGCCCTGTCCTTCTGCGTCTTCACGCTTCCTGGCCACCATGGAGTGGGCGGTTCTGCCACCCACTCCCCCTGCTATGATAGTCCGCCTCACCTTCAACACGAGCCGTCCAGCCGGCCATGGATAGGAATGTCAGAAGCCAGCAGCTAACGGAAACCTCCGTCCTTCCAACAGTGTCTTCCAAGTGTTTGTCATGGGACTAACAAAGGATGCTGGAGGCCTGTAGCTACAGTCTCTCCCTGCTTGAGAAAGGTGAACATTCCAGATGTCTACATGGCGAAAGCTCACTGAGCTAAGCTGTGTGAAGTAGTCATTGCGTTCCCGGGGTTCTCAGAGACCAGCAGACCCCAGAGCAGACACGGCGGAGGCTCCTACTAGAAGATAAGGACCACACACAACCAAGAGGCATACGACATGTAGATCACTGACAGTAGATCCCGGGAACCCAGAAAAGGCTGCTAATTCAATTTTAAAAAATACCCAAAGTGCAAATCAGCCTTCTAGGTAGAAAAGTACAGGCCTTTAATCCCGACACTTGGGAGTCTGAGGCAGGAGGATCTCTGTGAGTTTGAGGCCAGACTGGCCTACAGAGTGAGTTCTAGGACAGCCAGCCAGGGCTACGTAGAGAAACCTTGTCTTAAAAAACAAACACAAACACACAACAACAACAACAAAACTCACAGGTTTGGGTTTTCTGTTTTGTATTTTGCACATACTCAGTCTCTGATGTCCCCTAGGGAAACAGACTCTAGCTGTGGAAGCTGCTTTTGTGGATCTAGTGCCGGGGTCCCCTATAAGGGCCCCTCTGCTTAACTGCCAGCTGTCTCCCCTCTCAGTCCCTACATGACTGAAGTTCACGGTGTTTGGTCACATGGCCTTGCACTTGGGCTTGACCTGGGGCAAGTGGAAAGTCACACAGCCCACCTGTCTTTTAAGCAGAGAATGTGCCAAGGGGAGAGAATGCAAAGAGAGAACGAGTTCTGATTGGACAGCCGGATTTGGGAGGAAAAAAGACTGAGAACCTGTTGCTGTTATGGGCATCTCTGGCCTCTGGGTATTATCTCCCTGCCCCCCCCCACACACCCTGGTCTGCAGATCCCCGGTCCCCCCACCCCCCAACCCCACCCCCCTCCCCACCGAGAGACAGGAAGCCTTGTTTTTCACCGAGTTTCTTTCCATGGGATTCTATCGGCCCTGGATTACATCAAAGTCTGGGAAAGAGGGGCCCTTCCCCTTCCTAAGCCTTGAATGCTTTATAGCCAGGGCTGAACCAGATACAAAAAGCTCATAAAACCTGTAATTTTAACAGTGACCTAGTAATGGGCCTGAATCGGGGGTTGATGTTCACTAGGTGACATCTGTGCTCTGGTGACATCAGTGTGGTTGAAGGCAAGGCATGAGCAAGCTTTGCATATTTTAAAACGGGTGTCTGTCTGTTGGCAGCATGCTTGAGGGTGACGGTGCCTTTACTGGTTCTCACTGCCATGCAGTTAAGGGGTGGTTGGTATGTTTCTTGACATGAGAACTCCGACCTTACTAATTTCCCATGTCTGGTCTTCCAGGGTACCTGAACCCTGGTCACACAATGGAATGCACCCACATTACTGCTCATGTAGGCAGTAAGAGGTGACTGGTTAGTCCCCAAGATCTGGGTTGACATCATGTTCTGAGTTGGGCCTTCAAGGTTTAGTGAGGATCCCTGTCCAGGCACTTCCCCAGAAAAACACCATGGTGGCTCTGGGCCCCTTCTTTTCCTGGGTCTTGTCATTGGCAGATAGCTAGAGTCCCTTACGCAGTTTTTGTATGGTGGCCTGGCCTTGGCCTCTGGGGATGCCCATACAGGGCCATATGAAGCTTTGGTGCCAAGCGAACTCTTGGCAGTGTGTGCTGGCCGTGAAGCCAGGACTCTTGCCGTCACACACCTGTTAGAACTGCTAACTGGCTCCCCCAAGAGGAAGCTGCTAGAAATGCAAGTTGGGAATCACAAGGTGGTGGATAGAGAGGCATTGGGCCTTTTGTGTTCAGCTCTGGCAGTTTATCAGAGCTGTGGGAAAACTACATTGGGAGTCAGTGGAGTTCCCAAGCAAGCTGGAAACTGTGACTCCAAACAAACGTTTGCTAAGTGCTGAAAGAATGCTGAATGGCATCCCTGTGACCAAACACACCTGACAGAAACACCTTCGGGAAGGAAAGCTTAGTGCAGCTCACAGTTTGAGAGGGATTTCAGTCCACCATGTTGGGGAGGCGTGGCAGGAAGGCGTGGGGCAGAAGTGTGAGGCATAGACCAAGACACCAAGACCACACACATTGCACACTCACATTCACACAAATACCCCCCCACACACATTGTAACAACCACACCCACACAGATACCCCACACACACATTGTAACAACCACACCCACACAGATACCCCCCACACACATTGTAACAACCACACCCACACAGATACCACACACACACATTGTAACAACCACACCCACAGATACCCCACACACACATTGTAACAACCACAC